TTAGGACACTGTCGTCCCTCAGAAATGCAAGGAAGTGACAAGTTCAGCTTGTAGAAGACCTAATCTTATGAGCACATGTGGAGAGACGTAAGCTATATTCATATAGGATTTCAGTGTTGACCACATGCAGGCCCTGTGCTACTGACACAGGTACTTTACAGAGGAAGAAGCTAACTGACAAGGTCAAAGAGTTGGTGAACGATGAGTGGAGGAATGGAAACGTCTGGTGCTAGCCGGGGTGGTGACCACACCACATGGGGAATGCGCTCTTGCTACCGCACAGTTCACATAAAATGGTTAATTCTGTTCTGTGAACTTCACCTCATTTAACGAAAAGTAATAGAGCAAATGGTATTAAGGACTCTGAAACCCACATTCTTAAAATCTATTCTAAGAAAAGGGAGCCAGAATGTGGGATGTGAAGGCAGGGGGGGAAGTTGGTAGAATATACTCTGTACAAACATAAAGACAAATGTCAGGTGCCACATGCTGTGCTGAGCACAGGGGTTACAGACATGCACAAGGTATGACCCTACCCCAGGCACACAAGGCAGCCCACCAGTGCTGTGATTGAACACTAACCAGTGGTCCTAGAGCCACATCGGGAAAAGAGGTGCAAGCTCTCATAGGGGCGGGGGACTGAGCCAGGGGAGGCTTGTCCACAAGTGAAGATCTGCAGGCTGAGAGTTAGATCACGATGAAGAGCCACCGGCAGGCTCCTCTATGCTCACCAGAGCCTCACAGGTCACTTGGGCCACGCAGGGACCAGCCAAGGCTACATCCAGACACCAGGAATGCAGTGACATGGGGTCCTGGAAGCCGGGCTTGCACCCAGCCCCCGGGAACAGCTGTCGTCTCCTTGCGAACTCCAGTCTCGCCCTGCCTCACCCTTCTGGGTTGGGTCAGGATTCCAGCAGGTTGACACTGTCCTCCACTGAGACCTGAAAAGTGGCATCCGGGCTAGGCCCGGGTCCTCCCAGATAGGAGTGCAGAGAGCCTATCCTGCCCCCTGCTTCTGAGAAGTGGGTAGCCCAGAACATGGAGGAGGTTTTCCGCAGCTACATGTTTTACTGCCACCAGCAGGAGCAGGAGGCCGAAGGGGCAGCTGCGCCTATCGACCCAGAGATGGTCGCCTTGCTCCCAGAGCCCAGCAGCACCATGGGACGGGTGGGCCAGCAGGGGGAAGACATCAGTCGATGCTACAACTCAGAGTTCCAGACCATGGGCTGTAGCCCATGACAGAGAATGCTTACCAGTATTTCATCAAGACTGCCACGAGTCTGTCTGAAAGTGGCAACAACTGGGGCCGTGTGGTGGCTCTCCTGGGCTTCGGCTACCACCTGGTCCTACACGTCTACCAGCGTGGCCTGACTAGCTTCCTGGCCAGGTGACCTGCTTCTTGGTCGACTTCATGCTGCACCACTGCACTGCCCAGTGGATCATGCAGAGGGGCAGCTGGGTGGCAGCCCTGAGCTTGGGCAACGGCCCCATCCTGAATGTGCTAATGGTTCTGACTGTGGTTCTGCTGGGTCAGTTTGTCATATGAAGCTTCTTCAAGTCATGACTCCTGAGGGGGCCCTGTGAGGTCCCAAATGAGACCCCTGTCTGGACTTACGCCAAACCTCTGCTCCTCCCCCTCCCACGCAGGGGTCCCCCCTCAAGAGTACAGAAGCTTTAGCAAGCGGACACTCTAGTTTCGAAGGGCCCCTGCCCAGGGATGAGTCGGGCTGCAGAGGCACCCTAACATTGCATGGTGCTAGTAGGCCCCCCTCTCTGGGCTACACCTTGTCAGAGAGGGGCTGTAGACTCCTCCTTTGGCTCTCTGGGACCCCCTTAGCCCCGTCTGCTGGGCACTGTGGTGATCCATAACTTGGGAAGGCAAGAGACCAGGAGCCACTTCTTCCCAGGCAGTTTTTAATGGTTTTGGCTTTTCATCATACTTTTGGGAGAACCCCGCCACGCCCTTCCCACTACTCTGCCCAAGGCCAGGACATCTGGGGCATGGGGGTTAGTGGTCTACCCTATGGTCCCCAGCATTCAGCTAGTCTGGAAGGTCAGAGCCTGAGGGCTAGGACTCAAATCCAGTCCTGGCCCTCCCTAAACATGTCTCCCAGGTGCAGGACTGTCCGGGAGTGGGGGTTGAGGTCCTGCCCATCTCCCCAACTCCATACAGCCATTACGGTTTGACTTTCAAGGATTCTGGGCCTGGGGGGTGGGCATGGGGTGGGGGTGGAAGTCCAGGCAGGAACTGTCCGAGCTTACCCGGCAGGAGCCTTCAAGCCTGCCTCCCAAGGTCCTCAGTTCTCTCCCTTCCTCTCCCCTTAGAACCACTTGCCCCCAGCCCATTCACTATAGGTGACAACCCTTGCCCCATTCCCGGGGGCCTTGGGTGAGAAGAGTCCTGGGGCCCCTCTTTGCCCAGACTACAGGGCTTAGGACTTGGTTTGTTATTACAGAGGAAAGGGGTAGGGAGTTCATCTGGAGGGTTCTGGGCAGGAGAATGGTGATCATCACTACTGAGAATCCCAGAGATGGGATCATCCCTATGGCTTGGGCACAGTGTAATCAGGGGTATGGATGGAAGAACTGTAACTACTTGAACCTTGGCCCCCCACCCACACCCTTCACACGCCTCACCTGTCTAGATCTCTCCTTAGGGTGGGAGTGAGAAGACTTTTCTACCCTGTACAGCCTAAGGGTCTGGGGTAAGGAGAAAGGAGTTCTTGACTAAGTCAAATGCAGCAAGGGTATGTAGATGGAGCCAGTAGGCCACCCCCATCCTAAGAGTGTGTTTGGAAATAAACTGTGAAATCCACTCAAAAAAAAAAAAAAAGAAAAAAGAAAAGCCACCGGCATGAGCCAACACTGCCTGCATGGTGGGAACTGCAAGGAAATACATCCACTCAACATTTAGAGGTGACTACTGGGTGCCAGGCACTATCCTAGAGACTGGAGATTCAAATATTTATAGACTGTTGCCCTTGTGAGACTCACAATAAAGGAAGAAGATGGAGCCAAATATCTGAGAAACCTACTGTTTAAAAGTGGCTAAGGAACTAGACTTCGTTCCTGATAGTCTCAAGCAGAAAAGTGACATGAAAATTTAGAAAGAAGTGAGAACTGGATGGGGAAGAGACTGAAAGGAGGCTTCTTAGGAAGTTTCTGCAATGGTTCAGATGATCATCAGCAGACCTGGGTTCAGATGAGGGCTCTCAGAACGGAGGAGAGGAACAGAAAGATCAGAGGTAGAGCCAAGAAGGCTAGTGGGTGTGGCTGGGGTTCTCCAGTGGCTCTCAGATTAGAAGACAATGCCTGGCGTATATTTAGTACTTAATCAGTGTTACCTGTTGTTATTTTTATGTTGAGCTTCAGTATTTTAATAGAGTGTCTTGACTTTTTCATTTTTAAGAACAGTGCACCTGGATGGGGCGGGGCTCTGAATCCTTCTTCTCAACATTGGAAGAAAAGAGAGGTGAAAGGAAACCAAACCAGAAGGCCCAAGTATGTCTACATCAATGTAAAAACACTTTCAAAATACATAGTGAAAAAATGAATGCATACATAAAGGAAAAATGAACAAATTAATACAAGAACAGCAACGACCTGTGACAAAGCTGATCTACAAAACAATTGAAAACAAATGTTTTCACAAGAAAGAGCACATAGGAGGAGGTGGTTGACCCACATTTGCATAAGAAGTTAAATCAAGGAAATAAAGCTCACTCATGACACATAATATTTTATCTCCTTGTTATATCCACTTTTCTTCAGCTGAAAATTCTGTAATCAGAGTCAAAGCCCTTATGCTCCTGTTTCCTTTTCCAAATGGGATCTACCTTTTTTGCAGGTACAGGGACTTTCTGCCAGGACCCCTGCCATGTGGGGTATTAAGACTCCTGCTAGCCAAAAGGAAGCCAAGACAAGGAACACCGCCAACTCCCCGTGCTTCACCCCCATTCATAGATGGGCAACCTTCCCCTCCTGCACTGGTTTCCTCAAGAAGGACAGGTTAAAACATGTACATTCTGACCAATCAAAATATATCTCTTTTTGGTCCCCTATATGCCAAAATCGTCTTTCTGCTAGAAAACAATATATGTGCATTCCTAAAAAATCTCAGGTTTTATAAAATTCAATACTAAAAATAACAGAGCTTTTGGGAAAATTTGGTTGGGGCATTCCACTCAAAACCTATGGAATTTCACAGCACAATCAAAAACAGTAATTAATAACCTGGAGAGTTGATCTGGCCACAGAGGCAGGTGGCTTTGAATAGCTAGTGGCTACCACAGCAGACATCACAAATAATAAAAACAGCAGGGAGGAAATGCAGCAATGCATAATTAGAGCGAGACTGGCAGACACAGGAGTGGGCACAGGAAAAAAGTATAACCCATCCTGAGCCAAGGACCACACAAGGCTGTGAAAGCACCTCTCTGGGGAGGGGGCCTCAGAGGCAGGCAGTCTTAGTGATTTCACTCACACACGCATGCACGCACACACAATCATAGCAACTCGGCTGAGGACGTTTTGTCTCACTCTAGGTCATAAGTCTATTCCTATGTTCCTTGCTCGTTTTACCCAGGAAAATTTGTAAAAACCAATATGATTTTTGCCTTCCACAGCCAGACCCCAGGCGGCCAGGTCAGCTCCCCTGTAACCTGTCTCCAGCTCCATCAGGTGTACAGTGATGCTCTCCTGCCACCATCTGCTCGAGAGTTTTTTACTAATCACATATGAGCTCACCTGCACCACAGAACAGGGCACACAATATTTGTCCTCACAGTAATGGGTCTGAGTGGGCCAGATGCCCTTATGAAGTCAACTGCTCATCCTCCAGTGAAGCAGACCTGATACCTGGGGTGGATGCTGAGCCACGCCTGTGCTTTCCTCGCCCCACAACCCAGACCTAGACCTTTAACAAGAGAAAGAAAGATCACATCTTTTCCAGAGAAAGATGTAATCACAGAATAGCTCAACAGAAAAGTACAAGTACTTACATATAATATGTCGGGTAGAGTCCTTCAAAATACCAGCAATGTTTTTTGGCTTCTGTGCACTGGAAATAGAAGCAGGAGAATCTCTGTCAGTGGCAAGTCATCTGCATGTTGTTGAGAAGATCTCACAAAGGCAGCAAGGAAAGACACAGCTTAAACCTACGAAAAGCTGGGAGTAGGGGGCAGATGATGCATTAGAGGGACAGACGCTCCTGCTTCTAGTGCATGTTTATCTCTTTAGAATTTCTTAAGAGGTAAGAAAGCACCTATCTTCCTGTTATTCTTGCTAGCCTTTCATATGCTGTGAGTCAGGAGTCACTCGTTGCCGTCTCTCACATGCAGAAAGAGAAGAAACCAGGAAAGACAACAGAAGCCTCCCTGGGCTTTCTACTCCTGGAATTCTGGAGTTGGAGTCCCAGGTCCCAACATGTGGATGAGCAGCTCAGGGGCCAGGTACCCCCCCAAGAGGCTCACACACACCTCCAGCAAGTGAGAGCAAGCTAGTGTCACCAACCACTCAGGAAGACATCTAAGTCCTGGCCTATCTGAACAAGCCTTTTCTAAAATTATTCCCTTTATGCCATCATTTTTGTCTTAAATCCACAGGTCCTAGCTTTACAACCTATTTATTGGCTCCATATGTAAATAAATCCTTCTAAACATTATAGTGCAAAGATGCTGCTGGCAGGAACGCTAGCAAAGGCACAATGAAAGTAAAGCTTTCTTTTGGCAAAGCAGGGGCTAACTGTTCTGTTCAACCCTTCTCCCCTAGGGTGGCCAGGAGGCCAAGGCAGCTCCCCTTTAATCTGTCCCCAGCTCCCACAGGTGCACAGTGATGCTCTCCTGCCATAATCTGTCTGACAGCTAGAATAAAGTTAGAAACAGGCTCCAAACCTACAGCAGTATGCCAAGGGAGAGCAGAGTACCAAAGCCATGCTAAGCTGGACAGGTTGCGAAAATAGCATGAAATGCATGATTTCTGGACTGTGCTTGAAGACATTCAGAAGCACACTCAGGCAAGTCCAGAGTGAGCCCAGTTTATTAGTGGAAAATGAGTTTAATTTAAACTAGGTTAGCTCCTGTCCCGTGAAACAAATGAAGTTCAGACAGTCAAACAAATCAATTTATTTTGGCAAGGAAGAGTAATGTCAGGTCTCTGCCTCAATTTACAATTTATTTCACTTCTGTGATAAGCTAAGAAACCAGGTCTAGCTTTCATACGGCACTTTATATGGGTTTTCTCTATTCTCCATCACTGCCAGAGATGGCAAGCTTTCCTGCAACCAGATACTCGAACTCCATACAATCAGGAAATAGCCACCCCTGGTGCTGTCTTGAAGCTCAGGGAAAGCCAGAGCTCAAGCCGGAGCCCCTTCCACCTGCAGCCTGGGTCTTCCAAAGAGCAGCTCACAGAGCCAGTACACAGACCGCACAGCAAGGGCAGAGGTGCGGAGGCTGATGCTGGGAACAAAGGGTGACTCCTGACCCCCCAGTGGCCTCCTCTGGAATGTCCCTTAATCTAAAGTGTTCCCTGATACCCCAGGCCCAACAAAAAGAGCACTAATATAGTGTATTTTAGAAATAATATTTTCTTCCAAACAGAAAAAAAAAAAGTCAAACTTCTGGACTCACATTGTCTCTGGGATACGTGAACACACATGGAATAAAACTTTATAGAATAAAGCTAGGGCCTTTAGTGGGTGTGTTGTTCAGGGGCACACGGTTTCTTTGGGGTAGCAAAAGCAGTAATGCTTGGCGGTTTCTCCTAAACAAACCAGCACCACACTGAGGAAACCACCTTGCCTCCTCCAGCTCCCTGTGCTATCCTGAGACACCAGGGTGGCAGAAAAGAGGGAGACATGGAGATCCTGCACCCACTACCTGCTCAGGCATGCTCTCCAGCTACCAGAGGGGGAGGGGCCATGCATAGGTGAATCTATGTATGCAGGGGCTTGAAAGCTACAAAAGCTTATAGAAAAGCACTGAATTACACACAGCACAACCCCAGGCACACTTATACATGGCTGTTAAGAAGACGAGGAATATCTGGAAAACCACAAACGGATTTCTCTTGAGTCACTGGTGATCTCCCTCTACAAACATAAAACATCACATGAACAAGGTTATTTATTGTGGCATTATTTCTAACAGCAGAATCTTGAAAACAATGTAAATGGCCATTTAGAGAAGGATGGTTCATAAACGACTGTGCCCCACATAACTCAGTACTCTGTAGCCAACAAGAATGAGGGTCTGAGAAACGTTACGAAATGATTTCCAAGACAGTGTTAAGTAAAAAGGCAAAATGCAAATGGGTATGTCCAGTATTCTATCCTCTATGGATAATAAAAATTGTATATTTGGCTTGTTTTTTACAAAAAGAATCAGCAGAGTAGACACCTGGGAAGTGAGTGCTCACAAGAAACTCAAGTGGAGAACACACGCTCCTCTTTGTGCCTCCCCAGGACCCGTCCAAGAGGCGGACATCATTTCTATGCCACTCCTCTTCTGACCTTTCAAAATTTTCTTTCTGGCATTTTTGCTGGGATATTCAGTAGGTTCACTGGTGGCTACCTGTTGGTCACTCTTACTCATGGTTATTTGCTAATGACCTTTTACCATTCCTCACTAAGCTACCCACATAACAATATTTTGAAAAACATTAACTCCAGTCTGTTCCTTAAAAAAATATGAAAAACTTGAAAGAAAATGTTATGGCTATATTTTCTGAAAGAGAAAACACCTTTTAAACGGAGCTACCAAGCATTAAAATGTATTTTTTTGCAATTGAAATTTGAAATTTGCTATTATCACAGGAAACCTTTTCACTATGTTTGGTAGCTTGACTTTTACAACAGTTTTCTTCTAAGGAATGTAATGTTGTAATAGTGCACACACATAATATTCCACTAAAGTTATCAAGTGGCATCACTGCATTTAACACCCAGATAATTTGAAAAACACAAAGTCACAGGTCTCATTGATCAACTGAAAAACACCAAATGAGGACGCTGAAGTTCTCATAATTTTTATTGCTGAGCCTTTCCTTCACTAAAAACTTGCTAACGAAATACCAGTTGTCAAATTCAGCCTGCACACTAATCCAAGAGGATCTGGCCTCCTGGTGAGAATGGAGATTAGGTTCCACAGGGCAGGTGTTGGAGAGGGAGAGAGGCCTGCTGGGAACAACCTAGGGTTAAGAGCTAGACTCTGCCAGGTCGTGGTCCATCCAAAAACGCAGTATTTGCCTACCAAGTCCAAACTCCAAATCTAGCATCAGCACCAGGATTCAAGACCAAGCCAGATAGCTGGAGCTGTGGTTAAAAGGGAAGGTTGGGAAGGATGAGGAAGACGGATTTCCAGAGTCCTCCCAAACACTGGCAGGCTCTCAGAGGTGGCCTCACAAGTAAGCAGGAGGGTGGTCAGGGACAGGCAGAAAGAAGGTACTGTGCTAGGTAATGCCAAGGAAGCACCCACGACAAACAGCAAAGAGGAGCCCATGGAGGAAGGAGGAACCCAGGAACCAGAGAACTGGGTTTTAATCCTGACTGCCACTTGCCAACCATGTCGCCAGTTAGTCTGAGTCTCAGCTTCCTTATCTCTAAAATAGGACAGACTCTCTTCCCTGCATACTGTATAAGATTGCTTTATGAAGAAATGGAAATGGAATGTATCAGAATGCCTGGCCAGACTGGGGCATAGTTCCCTGAATCCCAGAGCCAATTAACATCTTTTCCCTAACTGTGTGCCATAAAGCAAGCTTTCTTTATTCTATGGAACAAATTACTCCCAAGGCTCATTTTATTGCGATCATCTATCATCTAAGTAGAAGAAATGTTCCCAAACCTCTTGAAAACAAAGTTTCTAAATATGTAATATCTTGCACATGTGCAGTATTAAGTTTTCCAAAATCTCCCTTTAAAAAAATCAAGTCCCTCTAAAAAAAGCAAAAATCCTTAAAAATGTATATTAACTCAGAAAGAAAAAAAAGTCAACTTCAAGGTTTTGTGCCCAGACCTAAAAGTATGTTACCCATTTTGCAAAGATACTACCATGGGTTCTTAAGGACTGGCCATCTCCTGAAACAGAAAACAGAGTTGTAAAGAGACATCAGCTGCTTTCCATAATGACTGGGCATCTTCAATGGTCAGGACACTGTTCTAGGTTCTGGGTCAACATTAGGCCCTCAATGAGCTCATAATGTAATATTCCCTTTATTTGTATAACGAAAATGATAAGCAGAGCCATCTGTTTCTTTAAGAGATCATAAAGAGTAATAATATACAATTTACAACTATCAATAGCAGAGTGTGTGCAACTGTGAGGAAATGTCTACTGTCAGGAGCAACTCAATGAGGGAATCTACAAATTAAACTAGAAAGGCTTGTGGTATGACTTCACTCAGAGAAGATTCTGGTAGCCTATTGTTCACACACTAAGATATCTAGATGTAGGTAAACCATCCTAAATATAGTTATCCCTATTTAGCCAGGAGCTAAATAAGCCCCAGAGAACAAATGCTTGCTAATCCCCAACAGTAATCCTCACATTGTCATAAATTAATCCACATCTGTGTGCACTGAATAAGGAGGGATCCAGCATGCCATTGACAATAAAAAAGTACTTCCATTTTTAGCTGCACATCAGTAAGGCATGACTGACTTTGCGACAGTTTGTGACTCTGGGACACAAGAGCAGAAGAGTCTAAGAAATTCAAAACAATATATTTCATCTAAATGTCAGCTGTTCTCCTGTTGTTATGTACAGGGTATGAAGTGGAATCCTTAGATAAGTATCAGACAAACTAGCAAACGAGTGGTTCTCTAACAGAACTGGTCCTACTAACTCCTAAAAAGTGAGGATCTTTTTGTTACATAATGTGTCAAAAGCTTTAGTCAAACGGTCTGTCCTGGGCCAGTAAGTCCAGGATTTTCTTCAAAGTGGTGGGATATCCTCAGGGAGGATCAGCCCAAAGATTCACTCTTTGTCAAAGGTGAGAGCCCCCCTGCCACACCTGGGTGCTACATTGGCATTCATTAAAATCTACTTGTCACGCAGGCAA